GCAGTCAGCCATCAGTACCACCCATCAGGGCTGCCTATCGGTGCCCATCAGTGCCACCTACGATTGCCCAACATTGTTGCATATCAGTGCCAACTCATCAATGCCACCCATCAGTGCTTCCTATCATTGCTGCCTTTTAGTGCTGCCTATCAGTGCCGCTATCAGTGCCCATCATTGTTGCATATCGGTGCCCTCATCAGTTGCCACCTCATCAGTGCCACCTCATCAGTGCCACCTATCAGTGCCCATCATTGTTGCATATCAGTGCCGCCTATCAGTTTTTGCTCTTTGTTTGTTTACAGTGCAACAAATAAAACACCCAGTGGTGAGTACATACCACCAAAAGAAAGCTCTATTTGTGTGAAATAATTGTAAAAATTTCATATGAGTACAATGGTGCATGACCGTGCAATTGTCATTCAAAGTGCGACAGAGCTGAAAGTTGAAAATTGGCCTGGGCAGGAAGAGGGTATAAGTGCCCGGTAGGCAAGTGGTTACGCTATAAATAAAGGCAAAACTTTTTTTGTAGTTTTAGAGTTAGAACCCTGATCAGGTTTTTATTGTTTCTGTGTCACCATTGGAGAGATTCACTCTATTTGAGACTGCACAGAGTTGATTTACGTTGATTTACTAAAGGGAAATAGGCTTTGCACTTTGCAGGTGCAGTTGCACTCATTTTCCCCATTGCTTAGTTAATGTGGTGAATTCCATCAACCAATTATGTGCAAGCAACAATACTGTTTTTTTTTTTATTTTCCTTTCATCTGATTGGGTATTATTTACAAGGTGAAGCCTTGCCACATTTACTAAGCTATGGGGAAAATAAGTGAAAATACAGCTGCAAGGTGCATAGTCTATTTGCCTTTAGTAAATCAACCTCAAAGTGTAGGAAAAGCCCCGATTTTAGGTTTCCTCAGAACATGAATAGAAAGGAAATCTTCTAATGGAGATACCTGTTCCCGTGACAGCTGTCTAAGGCTACGTTCACACTAGTGTTGTGTGCAGGCGGCAGAGAGGCGTTTGGGAAGCGTTTTTACCGCTTCCCAAACGCCTCGGATAATTAAGCACATTGCAGCACATGGTGCTGTTCTAACGGGAGCATTAGCGTCGCGGCAAAACGGACGCCTCTGATTGAGTCAGGAGGCGTTGAAGCCTCCTATTCTAGTCTATGGTGCCGGTTGCGGGGGGCGTTTGCGGAGCGGTAACACCATTTAACCTTCCCTGGCGGTATTCCCGAGTGTAGCTCGGGGTAACATTTCAGTACCAAAAGCGGTAACCCCGAGCTACACTCGGGAATACCATGCGGCGCTGCTCCGGCATGTGTTCTTCACTTACCTTACCCTGCGCTCCCACGATGTGTCCCCTGCAGTGTCCCAGGCCATCTCCTCCGGCCGATGCCGGCATCCGGCTTCTGTGTCCTGTCCCTGTGACGTCGGGACGTACGGGCGCCGCCGGCGGCGGGAAATTTAAAAATTTTAAAAAATGTCATTTTTTTTTTTTTTTCATTTTACACAGTAAAACATTGCTGTTTCAACCTATTTCACATACATATTGTCCCTAGTGCTTTGTCCTGCGCCCTGCCTGCATTTTGTCTGTTCTTTCTGCCTGGAAACTGAGAAATGTCCATGGCGTCCAAAAAGTGTCCATTTAGGTCAAAAGCGGTTTAGACCAGCTAGAGAACAGCGATAGTAAATCAGAACCACTTGCAGAATTGAGTGATAATGATTCGTGGGGGAAATTCGTCATCAGAAACTGAAAACGATTTTGCGACTGAGCTCAGCAATGTGCGAACTTGGCGCTCTATTTCACATTTCAGTGTTTTTGGTTTGATTATATTATTGAATTAAATTTTTTATTATTTTTATATTATTTTTTATGATTATTTATTAAATTATAATTTATGATTTTGTGTTTCAAATTTTATCATACCCGGGATGTTTACTAGACTCTTGTTCGGATAGATTTCAGTGAGTTTTTCCTAAAAATTACAGCCTACAATAAAAAAAATACATATTTCCATGCAAAAAAATGGTACCGCTTTCAGCACCAAAAATCTGAAATAATCATACCGCCAGGGAGGTTAAACTTCATTATAGGCATTTGTGGGGCGTTTTTAACGCTCGGCAAACTCCTAGCAACCGCCGCTAAACCGCGCATACAGCGTTTGCGGAGCATTTGCCAAGCGTTAAAAAAAACACTCCACAAACACCGGACCAACGCTTGCCAAACGCTATAGGGGCATTTGGCAAGCGTTGGTAAAACAGTCAAGTGTGAAAGAGCCCTAAGAGGTGATGTTCCTCTCTTTAGAAGAACTTCCATTCCTGTTGTGCCTATATGGCATGTAGTTAAGGAGAACCTCTTGAATGGAACACAGAAAGAACATGACAGGGGTTTTAATCAGCCCTACTAAATATTAAATGAAAAAAAAAGTCTTGGTTTAAGACATACTTTAATTCTGCTTTTTTTCCCCCAAAAAAGTAGTCAGGCTCATTTTTAGTATCTATTATATAGATGTGCATCTATGTGCTGTAGTATGCTATTGTCTACAGAGTTCTGAAAGACATATTTATGTAGTCTCAGACTTTTAACCAATATGCATTTCTATAGAATAGTATTCACAGGTATTATAATAGCATTACCCACTCGGTCTCTATGGTATCTATTGGGTTTTTTACCTTAAGAGCAAACTATAAGAACTCCTGTTTATGGGTACTGATGGGAGATGATCTCTTGTCTGTAGATTTAGAAACATATCCCATTGGCTACTGTTCCTCCCTGAGATCAGCAATGCCAGTTCTACCTGTACTTCTCATTTTTCTCAACTGTATGTTCATATAAACAAGGTTAGCAGCCTTAAAATGAATGGAGCACCCTGCAGCGTTAGATGTCCTGCCTTTATAGCGGTTAGATCATGACTGCCCTCTCTAGTGTCTGCCACCCTTTAGTGTCTGTGGAAGGCATTAGGCTGCAGATTCATTTAGACAGGTTGCTCCTAATCGGATGTCATTTCTTGATTTTATTTTGTCTAGTGTTTGTAACTTTTAACCTTCATTTTTTTTCATGTGATGTATTATATAATGTGTCGCTGTGTTATGAATAAAGGATAATAATACCTTGCTATATTCTCCTAGTAAACTCAGTAGACACGATGGGTGTAACTCATGAAGCTACGGCAGTGTTTCCCAGCCTTTTTTCAGTCATGCACACTTTAAATTCTGCACAATCTTGAGGCACCCCATTCTAAAATGTAAAAACGAAACCAAAAAGGTTTACATAATGCAGCAACATCCACACATGCAGGACACCCAGCCTTAAAGGTGATTTATTCTTAAAAAAGCACATTGGTACTGACCAGTATTCCAGTGTTTCTTTTCTCCCTCAGTTTCTCTCTCTCGCTAAGTTAATGTGACCCCAGTGCTGACGGAGAGGGGTAGGGGAAAGGCAAAAAAAGGATGCTGTGCAGGTGTCTGATGTCCTTATCAACTGATGACATCATTGGTTGTTGGGATGCTGGCGGATAGAAGGTTGTAAGGGTGCACAATGAATACCTGTGGCTTTTTGTAACTAAAAGGCAGGCTTGATCCACCCTTTGGCTTTATATACAATTTTTAGGAATGTTTTAGGCATTTTGCCAAGGCACCCCTGAAGAAACCTGAAGGCACCCCAGAGTGCCTGGGCACCCTGGTTGAAAAAGGCTGAGCTATGGTATCTAATAATTCAGGATGAAAGTAAATTTTTAGGCATCATCAACTGTGATAATAACCCTTGATTGTTCAAGGAAAGAAAAAAAAATATTAGTTTTTATGAGACTACCATGCAAAAAAAAAAAAAAAAACGGACGATCATTCATCCAATATTCTCATAGTGTGTACAGGGCTTTAGGCTTGATTTAGCTTTGTTGTCACCTGGTGATCCTGCAAGTAATCCAGTAGTAGTTTTCTCTACTATTTAGTTAGGCCTTCTTGGGAAATGTATTTATTTTTTTAAAAAAGGGCGCTGAACCCCGGTGATCTTTTATCTCTTTCATGTTGGTCAGGTAGATCTCCACCTCTCAAAGGTTACTTACCTTTTCTCTAGATGTGCTTAAACAAAGCATTCACTCATGTATTAATGAATACCTAGCTGCATTAATTTGTGTATTTTATAGCTTCCTGCAGTTTTGCTTTAATGCATAAGGCCCCATGTGAGAAGACATGGATTATTTGTTACAGTGCTGAGGCATTTTGATGTGTAGCATTTAATCATTCACTTTTCTCTGCCCAAATCCATTAGCTTGATATTTGGATATTACTTAGTGCTAATTTAATTTTTCTTAATGTTATTTGCTGGTTGCAGACAACATCCCTGTGGCACTATCATCTATCAACAAACTAAGTTAATGCTGTGCTTGTGCAGCGCATCTTTCTGTATCAGCAAGGCCCGCACTCACAGATATGGTATCTCTTTCTCCCGGGTACACCAGTGACAGGGAGGCTTTTTTATTTAGGGAAAGGACCCTCTGTGCTCCCAGATGCCTCCTATTAATGCCCCATATTCATCTTTGGGAATATTTCCATTAACAGGAGCATTTTATTATGGTAAAAAAATTGTTTAAAAATTTAAATAAAAAAGTATGTAAAAAAGTGAAAAAAACACCAAATTGTATTTAATTTACAAATCGCCATGCCTTATAAATACTAAATACCCTGGACTGTCTACTTTCCAAAAAGGGGTAATTTAGGGGATATTTGTACTGTCCTGGCATTTTAGGGCCTCAAGAAATGAGATAGGCAGTCATTACATCCTGATTGATCAATTGTATTATATTAATATGTTTCATTATATACCATAATTTTCGTTCCATAAGATGAACTCCCCCCCCCCAAAAAAAATGGGGGAAAATGTCTGTGTGTCTTAGGGAGCGAATATGGAGCGGCCAACCCGGTATTCCCACCACCGCCGTGTTAGAATACCGGGCCAGTAGCTCTGCTCCACTGTGCAGAAGAATCTGCTCCTCGGTCCTGCTCCTTGGTCCTACCTGTTTCTCGGTCCAGCAGTGTCCGGCGCCGGCATCTTCAGTGTGGGCACCCGGCTGTAACAGTGGGAGCGGGTACCTGTCAGATTCGGGTGCCCGCCCCCCCCAAAGGTTTGCAAACTGTGGTCATCTCCTGTACTATGTCCGCAGTCTCTGGTTATCCCCTGTAGTACGTCTGCAGTCTCTGGTCATCTTCTGTACTATGTCTGCAGTCTCTGGTCTTCTCCTGTACTGTGTCCGCAGTCTCTGGTCATCTCCTGTACTATGTCCGCAGTCTCTGGTCATCCCCTGTAGTACGTCCGCAGTCTCTGGTTATCTCCTGTACTATGTCCGCAGTCTCTGGTCATCTTCTGTACTATGTCCGCAGTCTCTGGTCTTCTCCTGTACTGTGTCTGCAGTCTCTGGTCATCTTCTGTACTATGTCTGCAGTCTCTGGTCTTCTCCTGTACTATGTCCGCAGTCTCTGGTCATCTTCTGTACTATGTCCGCAGTCTCTGGTCATCTCCTGTACTATGTCCGCAGTCTCTGGTCATCTCCTGTACTATGTCCGCAGTCTCTGGTCATCCCCTGTAGTACGTCCGCAGTCTCTGGTTATCTCCTGTACTATGTCCGCAGTCTCTGGTCATCTTCTGTACTATGTCCGCAGTCTCTGGTCTTCTCCTGTACTGTGTCTGCAGTCTCTGGTCATCTTCTGTACTATGTCTGCAGTCTCTGGTCTTCTCCTGTACTATGTCCGCAGTCTCTGGTCATCTTCTGTACTATGTCCGCAGTCTCTGGTCATCTCCTGTACTATGTCCGCAGTCTCTGGTCATCTCCTGTACTATGTCCGCAGTCTCTGGTCATCTCCAGCACTATGTCCGCAGTCTCTGGTCATCTCCAGCACTATGTCCGCAGTCTCTGGTCATCGCCTGCACTATGTCCGCAGTCTCTGGTCATCTCTTGTACTATGTCTGCAGTCTCTGGTCATCTCCTGTACTATGTCCACAGTCTCTGGTCATCTCCTGTACTATGTCCGCAGTCTCTGGTCATCTCTTGTACTATGTCCGCAGTCTCTGGTCATCTCCTGTACTCTGTCCGCAGTCTCTGGTCATCTCCTGTACTATGTCTGCAGTCTCTGGTCATCTCCTGTACTATGTCTGCAGTCTCTGGTCATCTCCTGTACTATGTCTGCTGTCTCTGGTCATCTCCTGTACTATGTCTGCAGTCTCTGGTCAATTCCTGTACTATGTCTGCAGTCCATTGGTTCAGAATATTTTTTCTTGTTTTCCTCCTCTAAAATCTAGGTGCATCTTATGGTTTAGGTGTGTCTTATGCAGCAAAAATACGATGTATTTATACCATTGTTTGTAAACTCTATAACTTTCACACAGACTAAATAATATTCACTGATTTGGGTTATTTTACCAAAGAAATGTAGCAGTATATATTTTGGCCTAAATTTATAAAGAAATATTATTTGTTTGCAAAATTTCATAACAGAAAATGTGGTTTTTTTTTTTTTTTAATTTTGGCATTTTTTTTGTTTATTTATTTTTTTCGTTGAGTGCCTGTGCTCTCACCGAAACTGTCAAACTATCAAATGACTGGTGTCATAACTGATCACATGTACAGCGCCCTGGCAACTGCAGATCAAACAGAGACAAGGTGGCAGCTTCCTTGACTGTAAAAGGATAGGAGGGTTTAGTTCTGCTTTAAATGACAATGACACTTTGATAGTCATAACTTGGGACAAAGGGATGGGTTCTGTTTGAAAAGGTACATGCAGTAACTCATTTGGTATATATACAGCGGGTAAAATAAGTATTGAACACATCACCATTTTTCTCTGTAAATATATTTCTAAAGGTGCTATTGACATGAAATTTTCACTACATGTTGGTAACAAACCATGCAATCCATACATATAAAGAAACCAAAACATATACGTTCAGAGATTAAGTTGTGTAATAAAATAGAATGGCACAGGGATTAAATATTGAACACGCTAACTGAAATGTATTTAATACTTGGCACAAAATCCTTTGTTGGTAATGACAACTTCAGGATGCTTTCTGTATGGAGAAACTAGTCGCATGCTTTGCTCAGGTGTGATTTTGGCTCTAGCAGCTATATTTTCTTTCTTCGAAACCGGTTCAGAGTTGCCTTGGCTTTGTGTTTGGGTACATTGTCTTGCTGACATGTCCAACCTCATTTCATCTTTATTTACCCTTCCTTCAATGACATGAAGTTTGCCAGTACTGTATGCTGAAAAACAGCCCCACACCATGATGTTCCCACCTACAAACTTCACTGTTGGTATGGTGTTTTTGGGGTTATGTGCAGTGCCATTTGACCTCCAAACACGGTGTGCATTATGGCATCCAAAGAGTTCAATTCTGGTCTCATCTAACCAGACTATATTCTCCCAGTATTTCACAGGTTTTTCTAAATGTTCTGCAGCAAACTTTAAACGAGCTTCAACATGCTTTTTCTTCAGCAATGGAGTCTTGTGTGGTGAGCGTGCATACAGGCCATGGCGGTTGAGTGCATTACTTATTGTTTTCTTTGAAACAATTGTACCTGCTAATTCCAGATCTTTTTGAAGCTCTCCACAAGCGGTACTTGGCTCTTAAACAACTCTTCTGATAAATTGTTCCACTCCTCTGTCAAAAATTTTGCAAGGAGCACCTGGTCTTGGCAGGTTTATAGTGAAATGATGTTGTTTCCATTTACAGATTATGGCCCCAACAGTGGTCACTGGAACATTCAGAAGTTTAGAAATCCTTCTGTATCCAATACCATCAGTATGTTTTGCAACAATAAGGTTGCAAAGGTCTTGCGAGAGCTCTTTGCTTTTACACATCATGAGATGTTTCTTGTGTGACACATTGGTAATGAGACACTTTTTTGTAGGCCATCAGTTGAGTCTGAACCAGCTGCTATTAATTTGCACTAATAAGAGGCAGAATTGCTTTCTAATTACTGATAGATTTCAGCTGGTGTCTTGGCTTTCCATTCATTTTTGCACCTCCGCTTCTTTATGTGTTCAATACTTTTTCCCATATGTCATTACATTTTATTACACATAACTTTAGCACATCCAGATCGCCCTATAGCAAATATACTGCTACAGGGTGGCAGGGGTGCGCAAAATCACATATATACAGGTGAAACTCACAAAATTATAATATCATGCAAAAGTTCATTTATTTCAGTAATGAATCTTAAAAAGTGAAACTAATATATGAGACAGACTCATTACATGCAAAGCAAGATGGTTCAAGCCGTGATTTGTCATAAGTGTAATGATTATGGCTTACAGCTCATGAAAACCACAAATCCACAATCTCAGAAAATGAGAATATTGTGAAAAGGTGCAATATTCTCGGCTCAAAGTGTCCCACTCTATTTAGCTAATTAAGCCATAACACCTGCAAAGGGTTCCTGAGCCTTTAAATGGTCTCTCAGTCTGGTTCAGTAGGAATCACAATCATGGGAAAGACTGCTGACCTGACAGTTGTGCAGAAAACCATCATTGACACCCTCCATAAGGAGGGAAAGCCTCAAAAGGTAATTGCAAAAGAAGTTGGATGTTCCCAAAGTGCTGTATCAAAGCACAATAATAGAAAGTTATGTGGAAGGGAAAGGTTTGGAAGAAAAAGGCGCACAAGCAGCAGGGATGACCACAGCCTGGAGTGGATTGTCAGGAAAAGGCCATTTAAAAGTGTTGGGGACTTTCACAAGGAGTGGACTGAGGCTGGAGTCAGTGCATCAAGAGCCACCACACACAGACGGATCCTGGACATGGGCTTCAAATATTGTATTCCTCTTGTCAAGCCACTCCTGAACAACAACAAACGTCAGAAGCATCTTACTTGGGCTAAAGAAAAACAGACCTGGTCTGTTGCTCAGTGGTCCAAAGTCCTCTTTTCTGATGAGAGCAACTTTTGCATCTCATTTGGAAACCAAGGACCCAGAGTATGGAGGAAGAATGGAGAGGCGAACACTGCAAGATTCTTGAAGTCCAGTGTGAAGTTTCCACAGTCTGTGTTGATTTGGGGAGCCATGTCATCTGCTGGTGTTGGTCCACTGTGCTTCATTAAGTCCAGGGTCAATGTAGCCGTCTACCAGGAGATTTTGGAGCACTTTATGCTTCCTTCCGCAGACGAGCTTTATGGGGATGCTGACTTCATTTTCCAGCAGGACTTGGCACCTGCCCACACTGCCAAAAGCACCGAAACCTGGTTCAATGACCGTGGGATTACTGTGCTTGATTGGCCAGCAAACTCGCCTGACCTGAACCCCATAGAGAATCTATGGGGCATTGCCAAGAGAAAGATGAGAGACATGAGACCGAACAATGCAGAAGAGCTGAAGGCCGCTATTGAAGCATCCTGGTCTTCCATAACACCTCAGCAGTGCCACAGGCTGATAGCTTCCATGCCACGCCGCATTGAGGCAGTAATTGCTGCAAAAGGGGCCCAAACCAAGTACTGAGTACATATGCATGCTTATACTTTTCAGAGGTCCGATGTTGTTCTATGTACAATCCTTGTCTTATTGATTGCATGTAATATTCTAATTTTCTGAGATTGTGGATTTGGGGTTTTCATGAGCTGTAAGCCATAATCCTCACAATTATGACAAATCATGGCTTGAACTATCTTGCTTTTCATGTAATGAGTCTATCTCATATATTAGTTTCACCTTTTAAGTTGCATTACTGAAATAAATGAACTTTTGCACAATATTCTAATTCTTCGAGTTTCACCTGTATATATACGTGATGTTGTATTTCCTGGTAGCAGGCGAGCGCCCAACCCATGCCGCCATTCGCGGTCGCCGCTGTCAATCACCGGGTCCTGGTGATTACTGAGCATCTCCGATGAGGAGGAGGACTGCTTTGTTTACTAACAGTCCTCCTCCCTATTGGCTTGGGCACACTGCTCTGGATGGCAGTGAAGAACCAACACACCACCCCCCAGTAAAACACTCCCAGCACACAGTTAACCCTTTGCTCACCCCTCATGTTAACCCCTTCCTGCCCAGTGTCATTAGTACAGTGTCAGTGCTTTTTATTAGCACTGATCACTGTATTGGTGTCACTGAGGACGTCAGTGACACCAAGTCCATTCCCCCCAGTGTCAGAATGCCCGCCGCAGTCCTGCTATAAGTCGCTTATCGCCGCCATTACTAGTAAAAAAAAAATCCAGTATCTATACTGCCATTTTTAAATGCTATAACGTTCACGTAAACCAATTAATTTACACATATTGGGATTTTTTTTAGCAAAGACATGTAGTAGAATACATTTTGGCCTAAATTTATGATGAAATTTGATTTTTAACATTTTTTACTGGATATGTTTAATAGCAAAAAGCCAAAAATATAGTGCAAAAAATAAAAAACGCACAAGTGATCAAATACCATCAAAAGAATGTTCAATTCATGGGAAAAAAGGACATAAATTTAACTTGGGTGCAGTGTTGCATGACTGCACAATTTTCAGTTAAAGTAACGCAGCTCCGTCACGCAAAAGATGGTCTGGTCAGGAAGGAAGGAGGGCAAGTGGTTAATTTCTGAATTTATTTATTTTGGTTTCTTTATATATATGGATTGCATGGGTTGCTACCGACGTGGTGAAAATTTCATATCAGTAGCACCTTTAGAAATATATTTACCAAGAAATATGGTGTTAAATACTTATTTTACCCG